CAATGTTTGCGGTTACACCACGTATTCTTTCTACAGGTTTAGTTGACCCTTATAAAAGAGGTCCACCCATCCAACTAACCCTGTCAAAAGAATACGTGGTGTAACCGCAAACCTCGCTCAAATATATCCTTACCCCGGAAGCCTTCAACCAAGATCATCTATAACCTGACCCATATTAAACATGAATTAAAAAAATGTTATGTGCACTGGAAAGCCAATATTGGGTATATAAGGTTCCAACAAGATCTTCAAAGCCTTTCTAGAAAAGTTGAAGAAAAGTGAACAGGGTAACGCCAACCGACACCCGCTGGTGAGCCCTTGTGACATGCAACCCATATAGGAAAGCCTGGATTTGAATACTGCCGAAGGGTTACAGCGGTATTGATATTGATTTATTGATTTATTGATATTATGATTTATTTTGCCAATTTTTGACCAGAAAATGTGAGAGAAAGGACATTCATTACACTGTACATAATTATGACGCTGGATAGATTATTATGATAATTTAACAATAACACTAACAAAGGACAAAGGACTTGCATTTTTAACAGATTTTAGAAAAGCATTTGATTGTCTAAGTTTGGATGACAGATTTTAGAAAAGCATTTGATTGTCTAAGTTTGGATGACAGTGTAAATGCCCCTAGAAGGGGCATTTACACTGTCATCCAAACACGCCAAAAAATGCCAAACCGGAGCCTGACCGCGATGTTACCAAGGGCAACTACGCATTACCGGCAGAAATGCCAATTCCAAAACATTCCAAATCGAGGTGTGATCTTTTGGCGTGTTTTGGCGTGTTTTGGCGTGTTTGGCAAGTATAAACGCTTGCAGTTGTAACATCGCGATGTTAGGTGACGTAACTTCAGGAGCGGAGCTAGATGTCGTCCTTAAAGAACATGATAGAACGATATATACAAAGAATGACATAAGAGAAGGTGATAGAAGGAAGAAACAAATAATAACATAAGGAATAACATAAGGAAAGACAGAAAGAGAAAGTGATAGAAGGAAGAAACGAAGAATAACATAAGGAATAACATAAGGAAAGACAGAAAGAGAAAGTGATAGAATGATAAAAACAAAGAATAGCATAAGGAAACACAGAAAGAGGGAGTGAAAAAAAGATAAAAGACAAAGAATAACATAAGAGAAGGTGATAGAAGGAAGAAACAAAGAATAACATAAGGAAACACAGAAAGAGGGAGTGATAGAATGATAAAAAAAAAAATAACATAAGAGAAGGTGATAAAAGGAATAAATAAAGAATAACATAAGGAAACACAGAAAGAGAAAGTGATAGAAGGAAGTGATAAAGAATAACATAAGGAAAGACAGAAAGAGAAAGTGATAGAAGGAAGAAACAAAGAATAACATAAGGAAAGACAGAAAGAGAAAGTGATAGAATGATTAAAAAAAACAAAGAATAACATAAGATTTGATTTGATTTGATATGGTTTATTGATTAAAAAACATTCAAATAGCAGCCAGAGGCTGAAACAAATTGAATTTACAAAAGATACATTCAAAAGCATAACATATACATATAAATGGCGATTCACAATAAATAATCAAGGATATGATCAAAGAAAACAAGAGAAGAGAAACAAGAGAAGAGATTAAAACCGATGACTAAAGGATAATTGAAGGAGAACGATCGCGTAGCAGAAGGCAATAAGAGAAATGTAACAGAAGATTAGAAGGACTGGTAAGATAATAACAGAGAGGGGGGGGGGGGGGGGGGGGAGAGAGAGAGAGGGCATAGAGAAATGAGAAAGAGAAGCTGGCGAGGAGACTACACAATAAAAGGGACAAATAAAGAGTAGGACAGATAAATAGGCTGAAAAGGAGAACTAGATATATAATCGGATAAAGTGTAATAAACTGTACTGTAATACAAATATAATACCTTTACAATGTAAATGCAGCATAATTTTTGAGACCAACTTAAACCGACTACAAAATTAAACAATGAATCCTAAAGCACAAACCGCAATGTCATTGATATATTCATTATAGATATTTAAATATAAAAACCTTTACATAATTTGGCAAAACATGGTTAATACACATGTATTTGCTTCAAGATCCATATTAAGATATATAATTATTATTGAAAATTGAATTTACAAAAAAAAAAAAATAGCTGTTAAAAAAGAGGAAAAACAAACTAGATGTGATTAACAGAATTGCATTGTTGGATTGCAAATTTTAAAAATATAGGTATATATATTATTTTGAAATTTGAATTGATAAAATCAAACGAAACGAATGGATTATTATTCTTTCAAGCTTATTTCAAATCTGAGTTTATCAGCCGTACAATGGTAGGGATCACAGATTTGCGATATCTCGTGGTTCTACACATTGGGATATTGAGTTCGTTGGAATTCCGAAGCTGACGAGTCGTTGTCTGCCCTCGGAACTCGGGCAGGAGATCTCGGTGTCGAGAGGAGAGAAGACGAAGACCAAAGTTAGAGAGCAGAGTTTGTCTGCGTGCTTCAAGGGATGGGATGCCTAGTGTTTCAAGGGCCGAAGTGTAGGAAGTATAACCGCTCAGGATAATACGACAGGCCCTTTTTTGGACGCGCTCTAGGTCAGCAGACTGTTGTGTAGTAATTGCTGATAAGAGAAGGTGATAAAAGGAATAAATAAAGAATAACATAAGGAAACACAGAAAGAGAAAGTGATAGAAGGAAGTGATAAAGATGACATACATGTAAGAGAAGATGATAGAAGGAAAAACATAGAATAACAAGGAAAGATAGAAAGAGGAAAGTGTTTGCATCGGAGTGCCGCGCATGCGCATTACCAACTGAAACGCGCCAAAACATCACTGCGCTTTTCAGTCGGTGATGTTTCCGCACAAGTGTAAACGGGTGCGCGAAACATCGCGACTTTTCAAAATGAGGTATTTGACAGCATAATTGCGCCTTCTTTGAATGTTTACGGAAATTTGGATTTAAAAATGATTTTTGCAGATGGGTCAATACTCTGTACACAAATGTTAAAAGCAGTGTCAATGTAAACGGTTGGTTAACAGAACAAATTAACATAACAGGAGGCGTACGCCAAGGGTGCCCTCTCTCGGCCCTGCTATTCATACTCGCTGCCGAGGTACTAGCTATTAAAATAAGAAACGATCTAGACATCACAGGAATTACCCTTTTTGATTCAGTCGAAATAAAGATACTGCAATTTGCAGATGAAGCAACAATTTTTGTTAAAGACACAACATCTTTAAAGAAAGCTATAAAGCAGATAGAACATTTCGGTTTATTTTCTGGGTTAGAGCTGAATAAATCAAATACTTCCATAGTTAACATTAATGGAGACACCATTGGTGAAAACATTCATGGCATTCCATGGACCTATTCTGATGTTAAAATATTAGGGGTTCATTTTGGTAAAAATGAACAAAACCTAATAAATCTTAATTGGAAACCCAAAATATCAAAGATTGAAAATATAGAACGTCTATGGAAAGCGAGGCGCTTAACTTTTTCTGGTAAAATAACTATACTCAAATAATTTCTTGTTTCTCAAAGTATATACAATGCTCAAATGATTTCCATGCCGGAAAATGTAATGAAACTCATTGATTCTTTACTGTATATATTTTTGTGGAATGGAAAAAACACAAAATAAAAAGAAAAGTGGTTTGTATGAGTTATGAGTATTGAGGATTAAAAATGGTTGATTTGAATGCTCTGTTACAAAGTTTTATATTAAAGTGGATATTGCACTACTTCTCCCACGAAAACTCAAAGTGGAAAAAGATAATTGATGGTTTCTTTAAAAAAGTGGTCAATTTACAATATGTGTTAAATAGTAAATGTACAAAAGATGATATGAAGTTTGTTTAAAGAATATAAAAATGCCCCAATATTACAAGAATATGGTATATACTTGGTTTGACTTTAAAGAGATAGTAGAAAGTAAGACGCCAATTGATTTACAATCTACTAATGTTAGAAGTGAAAACATATGGTTTAACTCAAATATAAGAGATCATAACAAAAATGTATTATTTATTAAAAAATGGTTCGATGTAGGCCTTTTGAAAATTAATGATGTCGTAAAAAACTCTAGATTTATGTCTTTGAGAGAAATTGAAGAAAGATTTGAGAAAAAACATGTGTCTTTGTTTCAAGAATATTACATCATAGTAAATGCAATTCCCAAAGTTTGGAAACAGAATCTGTTAAGACAGGTACATGTATATGATGCGACACAAGAAGAAAATGAAGGTGTCATGAAAAATGTTTTAATGAATGTTAACACTAAACGAAAGTCGAAGTTTTTTTTACTCTACGTTGTCTATTCATTCAATTGTTAGACCTCCAATCGAAGAGAAATGGGAAGAAATGTTAAGTAGTACAGAACAAATCGACTGGAAAGTCATATGGTCATTTAATTTACAAGCTATGAAAGAAAACAAAATATCAGAATTCAATTTTAAGTTATTACACAACTTATTACCAAATAGGTATATTTTATTTAAATGGAAATTGTGTAACAATCCCTTATGTTTATATGATGATCAGTTACACGACAATCTCCATTTATTTGTAAAATGCAAGCACACAAGATTGTTTTGGTTAAAATTTGGAGACATAATTCGAAAACTTTACAATGTTAATTTTTCTTTTGACAAGTTCGTTTTAATTGAAGGTTTTAACTTGAAAAACAAAATATTTAAAAGTTTAAATTTTCTTATCATATACGCAAAATACGCAGTTTATTTAACGTTTATGCAAGCAGAAAATCGCGAAAATCATGTTTCATGAAGTCTCTATTCTTTGTATTTTCAAAAGATTAATCCACAACCGATTAAAGATCGAAAGGAACTGTAAAACAAAAAAGCTATGCATTTTTGAAAACACTGTTATTCAAGAAAACGAAACATGTTTTATTTGAACTATATTAAGATGCTACGATGTTATTTCAATTGATTGTGTATGATTGTTTGATTTGTTCAAAAGCATATATTTATCAATAAATTCATTTTACAAAAAAACAAAAAACAAAACAATAACACTAACGTTCGCTCGAAATAATTTTTCTTTGATGATTACAATAGTGCCTTCTATGGTCATTTCATATGATGACACGTGGTGCTTATGCGCCCCTGTCGGCAGGGCTTGGCCAATATCCGGCGATAGCTATGCTCCCGAGTCAGCCAAAATCTCGCAAAACGAGAATCCACGAGATTACGTACGTGCGGAACGGGATTCTGCGCATCGAACCTAAAGCCTAATTTGCATACGCTCTGCGGCGGACTGACTGCTTTTTAGCGATACCGATATGTTGATATTGGTGCTGAATAGTAAATATAATCATTCATATCAATATAAATATCATCATTAATATCATCATTCCTTGTTCACTAATCAGAACGAGTAATGAATTCTATTTAGTTCTAGATTGAGTGTAAATTTGCTCGCATACAAATCTTCATGATATAAAGTTTTAAGCGCTTTGTATCTACTTGTAGAAAAGGCGCTATACAAATGTTCATTATTATTATTTATTATTATTAAAGTTCTCGTTTTGTGATACATCTATTATGTCGTGATGGATTGACCCTCCCGAACAAACTATACCACAGACCACGCAACAGAGTGTCAAATGTGCAATTATCTTATATGATACACACTAATACGCGCGAACCCAAATTTCGATTGAAAAATAATTAATCGAAGAGCTGAGATAAACATGTCATCATTTTGTTTATGTTCTAACTGTTTCTTGGTTATTGTACTGAAGATTAATTGTTTATGTATGACTTAAGCATGGAATTGAATCACTAAAGAATATTGAAAAACATACCATTACACGCCACTCTAATCAGTTTATATCCACCTTAATAATAATAATAATAATAATAATAATCAGGATTTATATAGCGCTTTATACGGAATACCGTCTCTAAGCGCTTTACATATTTTATTATTTACAAGTTCAATGAACGAACCTCTGACAACTTTATACTTTTAAATTTCGTCTTTTTAAGACATAAACATAATGGGGGGGGGGGGGCTACTCATATTTTATCTCTCATCCGATATTCTTTATTCGAGAATATTCTTCTTTTTGAAGTTTCATGATCTCTAGAGCCTTCTCGTAAATCATAATATCTTCATACAACGCTTCTCTTACCTCTGCACTATTAAGTAAGTCAATTTTCATTTGTTTTATTGTCGTATCTTCCTCTTTTACTCTGGCCCCGCCCGTGTTAAGGGGAACGGAATATTCAGCTGTAAAATTCATTTGATAAGCTTCTCCAAAGAGCTCTAGAGATACCCGATAGTCCTCCAACATTCCTATTACCGCGAACCAGTTCTCCAGATTATCAAGGATATAGTGTAGAAGTGCACGACGCTGCTCTTTTGTTAAGGCCTCTTTATGAAGAGCTTTTTGTCGAAACCAACACGTGTCCTCGTGCCGATGCACGTATTGGATGATATCTTTCGTGTGATCCTGATAGAGTTTTACGTACTCATCGGAACTGGAGTCATTCCTACAAGTGTCCGGGTGCACAAGAACTAGATTGAAGAAGTGACTGCCTTGATGAATCGCCCAAGCAGTGATGGACACGTCTTTGGGTCTCACTGGTCCGCACAGACGTGATGAGTATTTTGTAAAACAGAAGAAGTACGACGAAATGATCCTGTCATACGGATTACGAAGAACTGTCATGTATGAGCAGGGCCTCTTATGCAATACATCACATATGCCAAAGCTGAAACCTCCCCAGAAGAGTGTCGGCTTGGGTGTACGTCCCTTCTGGAGGAAGCGGTCAAATTCGCTGGTAGTTACACGGTTGGACATTTTAACTTCATTCATTCTTGCTTTTCGACGCGCTTTCCTAAATAACGCCTTAGTTGTTGTCCCACCTGCTTTATGAAGGTGCACAAAAGCAATGTTGCACTTAGCGTAATCCTCTCCCATTCCAGATCTCAACCCATGAATGTAATAATTTGGCAAGCCCTTCCTATGCTGTGTAACATTGGCCAGTAGAGAAAATGTCGGACTGGCACTTTGGTCAGCCATGAGTTGGACCAATGTCCTGGTGTTCATAGTACGTTCGGCACGGTATTCATGCACACCTCCATGTTCTTCGGTTCTTCTCCCATCATTATTTCTGAAAGAAAAGAATAACAAGAAAAAAGGATGAAATGATACATGTACATGGCACATCATTATACACGGTCTTAAGATTATAATAATATATGTACCAGATTGTATAACATGATTGAGAACGTAACCGCAAATACTTGTTTGTGTTATAATTCTTTTGGGTGAAATGGCACCTTAGATGTAGAGACAGATTTCCGCTCTCTCTCTCTCTCTCTCCATCTCTCTCTCTCTCTCTCACACACTCTCTCTCTCTGTCTCTCTCTTAACTAGTTCATACGAATATAATATATGCACAGTGTTTGTATTAAGACTATTTCTGTTTCTTTTTTCAATATCTTAGGTTATTCATTGTATTGCAGTGTACTGTATTGTTTTGTTGTTTGTTCGTTTTGTTTTGAAAAGGAAAGAACAAACTTACCCACTGACAGGCTCAGCCTCATACCAGCCGGACTCGGGAATGGGATTTACCGAAGACGTACTCACACCGCGTTGAAGCCAATTACCTGATCAAGCGTAATCATTGAGACTTAGATTAATGAATATGATATTATTTGATTCATTTCATTCATATGAACTTCATTTCATCATTCACCTTGTCTATTTATACAAATTGGGTCTATATTCATAAGGAAAGTACTTCTTTGCCTAAATCACATTGAGCATTTGCAGGCAGTTATCTAAAATTCCAGGTCTTTAAAATGGTAACTGTTACATAATCTCATTCAAGACGTGTTCTCTAATATCCTGACAGATTATTATCAATTAATAATAATTAGATTTATTTATAAAGCTCAGCTACTATATAGATATAGTCCACTGCGCTATATGATGAAACCAAAACTCATAACAATGCTACCTTACAGACACACAATACACTTTACAGGGTCCTCATCTTTTTCACTTTTTGATAACAAATACTGCTGCATGAATGGGAAATTAATTGTATAAGTACGTTTGGGGGGAGGGGGAATATTGCAGGTGATAACGGTAGAAGTAATTATAAGATGATGACGTGGATCCGAATCAAATTATTGTTTGAAAGTGTACACGTGACCAGACATTCATTTTGCCTAACGCGCAATTTGGATAATAACCAGTCATTATCTAATTCTAATGACCGGTCATTAGTAAAATCATGTTTAATATAAAACATCAATTTATGAAACAAATTAAAACATAATTTTATAAAACAAATAAAACATAATCTTATACAAAAAATAGTATACTTCATTTTGTTCAGGCATTAGTAAAATTAACCACACTCGGTACCTTCAAAACAGTCCAAACACCCTCGGCTACCGCCTAGGGCGTGTTAGACTGTTCGGAAGGTACCTTGTGTGGGTACTTCTTACTAATGCCCTCACTGCTGTGTATTATTCGTATACTACTATCCCGAATGTGTAAAGTTCGAACCTATCTAAGTAGATTAGGCCATTGTTTTATGAAGATAAGTTTAGTGGCGGAGGACGCTTCAAGCTATTTTGTTTGTTTTACTTTACAGGGGTCATGTCTTTATTCCCTGTGCATGGAGGTCATCCCAGTAAACGGAAAGCCTGCGAGACTGACAGCCCACGAGACCGACAGTCCACTACGAGGGAGGCAAAAACAAAGGAAATATAGAAATGAAGAATTTCCAAAATATCCTAGAGACTATGAGCCTATAAAGAGACCGACAAAACAAAGAAAAACATGTGGGAAGATAGTGGACTGTCGCTCTTGTGGACGTCGGTAAAGTTAACCCTCGTAGAACTTACCTTTTATCGAATAGACGAACACCATGAAGGCAATCGAGAGAAGCACAGATATGTTCAGCAGGTATTTTGAACTCCTCAACGCGGATTGGCATCTTCTTATCCAGCCCTGGCCATGTGTGACACCGAACTGATCCATCACGCTTCATACACCTGTTTAAGAGCAAATGTTGGATTCTATTAATAATAATAATTATTCTTGCTTATATAGCGCCTAACACTTACTTTATCAGAAGTCTCTAAGCGCTCTACAATAATGCAGCATAATTACCCTGGCTTTAGCAGTGCAGCTGTTACGCGCGCTGCGTTTCAAGGAATAAATTCCTATCAGGTACCCATTTACTTCACCTGGGTAGAGTGTGGCAAATCTAGATCAATGTCTTGCCAAAGGACATCAGTGCGGCGGCGATACTCGATCCGCGGACCTTGTGATCGACAGTCCGGCGACGTATCCACTTCGTTGCACCGTTCTCGAAAATAATCCTCGTCTGAATTCAGTTCCCCCCCCCCTCTCCCGCGCGAAGCGCGGAAGCTTTTACGTTTCATTAAATCATTAGAGAAAGAAGACGATTCGTTGTACCGTTCTCGACTCTCAATCCTCATCTGAATTAAGTTGCCCCCCCTCCCGCGCAAAGCGCGGAAGCTTTTACCTTTCATTAAATCATTAGGGAAAGAAGGAGATTCGTTGTACCGTTCTCGAAAATAATCCTCGTCTGAATTCAGTTTACCCCCCTTCCCGCGCGAAGCGCGGAAGCTTTTACGTTTCATTAAATCATTAGAAAAAGAAGACGATTTGTATTACCATTCTCGGCTCTTATTCCTTGTCTAAATTCAGTCTCCCCTCTCCGCGAAGCACGGAAGCTTTGACGTTTCATTAAATTATTAGAAAAAAAAGAAGACGATTCGGGGGGGGGGGGGGGGGTAGTGAGCACATTTTTTTGGGGGGGGTCCTCGAAAATTTAAAAAATTGCACCCCTCCTTGAACGACAGGGGGGGGGGGGGGCCCAAACCCCCAAAAAGGTAAAAAAATCACGTGTTTTTACATGATTTTTTTTCTCAGGGGGGGGGGGGGGTCCGGGCCCCCCCCCCTGGATCCGCCACTGCTTGGATCCCTTGGCTGGGTCCCGCGGGCAGAGCCCCCGGAAGCTCAGGGGTTTTAGGCGTTTAATTACGGTCAGAATGGCATTTTTTAAAACTTATTTTGTTGTGACACTGGCAATTAACTATTCTTTCTTTCTTGCTCTCTTTCTTTCTCTTTAATATTCTTTTTCAAAAAAGTGGGGGGGGGGGAGGGAGCTAGAGGCTCCCGATCTCCGCCGTTCCGCAGGCCCTGACATGTAGGCATCTCAAGAAGCATATTTCTTGCCTGGCTGTAAATTTAGGAATTCGTCATTTTACAACAAACGCATAAAAAGTATAATTTACTACAAAATGAGGAAAAATCTCTGAAATTATGTCATTTCAGCATTATGTGTTAACCACCGCTATGGAATTAGAAAAAAAACCACGTTTAAATTTTATTTCCCCGAGCGCCCTCCCGATCAGTATGCCAGTGCCCCGCTCCCCCCCCCCCCTGAGCTACACTTTCTTGGCGGAAAAATCGCAACTGATCTCCCCTACCTTTCTTCTTTCTCTTTTTTTTCCTGTCCCTTTCTCTCCTCTTTCCCCTTCCCTTCCCTTCCTTCTCTCTCTTAGATTTGCTTTGGGGGGGGGGGGAGGCAAGGTCCTTTCGGCCCCACCCTTCTCCACACGTTGTTGGCGGGATTAACCGCAAGTGATCTATTTCCCCTTCTTTTCACCCTTTTTTTCCTTCTTCCTCTTTTTCGGTCCCTTTTAGCTCTCCTTTTTTCCTTTTTAGCGGGGGCGGGGGGAGGCAAGGGCTTTTTGCCCCACCCCACCCCGATCCACAACTTGTTGGCGGGAAAATTACAACTGATACCCTCTTCTTTTCTTTTCTTCTTCCTCAATTTTCCTTTCCTTTATCTCCTCTTTTCCTTTTTTCTTTCCATTTCCTTCCTTCTCTCTTATTTTTTTGATGGGGGGGGGGGGGGGGGGTGGGAGGCAACAGCCTGGGAGGCGAGGCCCTTTCGCCCCCCCGATCTCCTTCTTCCCCCGTTTCTTTTCTTCTTCCTCTTCTTTCTTTCCCTTTTTCTCCTCTTTCCCTTCTTTTCCTTCTCTCTCTCTCTCTCTCTCTTTTTTCCTCCTGTTTTTTCCTTTTTTGTTTTACTTCCTTTCCCCCCTTCTTATGGTCTCCCTTTTTTCTTACTCGGGGGGGGGGGGGGGGGGCCGGGCCCCCGCCCCCCCCCCCCCCCCCCTGGATCCGCCACTGGGGACATGTTACCCTTAATGGTTCAATCATGCACCTTTAGGGGTGCAAACCGATGCAACACTAGCAGTACCTTTATGGGTTCAATCCTGCACCCTTTAAGAGGGTGCCAGATTGCACCTTTTAGGAGACATGTTAGTAGGGGGATCACAATGCCTGTGCACACAGTTTGACCCATGCACACACACACACAACAGCAGTCAGTTGGTAGAAATAGCAATTTTTGTAAATTTATTTAAAAAAAACTAAACAATATTTTAAAAATTGTATTTCACATATATTTCAAGCATACCTTTAACTACAATTCTGTGTAGTGCCATTGTTATAGGCATGTGGGAAATATGTTAAATTATTTAATTAGAATATTGTCTTTTCAGCCATGTGTGACATGGCCCGCTGATCGCCCATTGACTAGCATTGTTATTCTGCGTGGTGAAAATGCACCTCAATGTATAAAAATCCCCTACAAAATATGCAATATCCTCATGTGTTTCACTCATTAAATCAAATTGTTGTTTACACTCAAGGTAGCCACAACTGTATTGGGGTCACTAAACTTCTTGTTACTCTGAAATTCAATCCCTGTGGAATGTTATGGCCTGTTGAATGGTTTCTCGGAAAATCGTCATAAATCCTCAAATCTGACATCTTTTAAATAGGCAAATATACTGTGATGTAGCTGAAAGTCTGCAAATTCTTATCATATGATCGGTTTTTCTGAATAATTTGTGAAACACATGAAGGAATAACTGTGACGGTGATCCAAGTAATTTCCATGGCCATATTTTATTGGCATTGCAAAAATATTTGGAATTTAAGGTTAATATTTGGTGTAAATATGATCCATGAATAAATGATTTAAAAAATGCCCCAAAAATGAACGGTTTGACTTTCCTAATTAGCATAATGAGTGCGCGAATATATAATCAGCTGAAATGACCTAATTTTCATATTTGATGAATATTCATGATTTTTTAATATTTCAAATGAAATATATTTCCATACCTGTCTGATAAACATAGGTTTCACTGATGTATCATGTTCGGTTTTGATTTGATTACAGATGCGCATATTAATTAGGCGGACTTGGTTATTTTCACAACTTTTTCATATCTGCAGATTCGCAAAAAATGGCAAAAATTACTTATTTTGTTGGCTTCTGTTTTCAAAACGGTAATAGATAGGTATATGAATTTTCTTTTTCTGTATTTTTTACCACAAAGATGATATTTTAGTGTCTGATAATTTAATTTGTTATTTGTGTCCAAGAAAGTGATGAATTAACTTTGTCGAATTTGACCATTTCTGGGAGGTTTTTCGGTAATGTTGCGATATCAAAAAAATGGTATAAAATTACAACGCATTGACCGATTTCAATTCTGTTTTTTGTTTTTTGAAGCTTTCATAAAGCTTGATCATTTGCAATCATCAGAAAACATGTGTTTGTTGTACTTATTTTTGGTGTGCTATACCTAATGTTAGTACCCTTAATGGTTCAATCCTGCTCCATTATTGGTGCAAACCGATGCAATAGCAGCATCTTTAGGGGTTCAATCCTGCACCCATTAAAAGGTGCAATCCTGCATCCATACTTGTGGGATACTTGTGAAAATTGCTCGTACACAAATACATATTAGACATGCACGTTGTTTCTTGGTTAGTAATCATATAATCAATATATCTATTGCTAAAACGTGAATGTAATTGTAACATGATCAGACAAAATAATCTATTGGTTAATGATTGCCGAAGGAAAATACAAATCACAAAATTGGTGTGCATTGTCATAATTTGCTTAACAAATCATGATGAATGTATTTTTATGTTGAACACGTGTAAAGTAATCATGAATATGCATGCAATATGAAAACTTTTATTTTGCACCCTTTTTTGGTCGGTAGGGTTCATTTTTGTGGGAAGGGTGCTAAATATTATATTGCAACCTTTTTTGCACCCCTTTTCCTTCAAAAGGGTTCATTTTTATGTAAAGGGTGCAAACTCTTATTTTGCACCCTTTTTTGCACTTTTTTTTTTAGAGTGACTACTCCTATTACATGTACTACTACTATCACTACTACTACTAATAATAATAGAGGGTTCTGTTCTTGTATGGTGCTCATGTCTCAGACTTGACATTCCTAGCGCTCCACAATTATTACCCTGGCTTTAGCATGGATGCCATTATGCAGCTTTCCAATAGCAAGTCAAGGAGTTAAACGGCAAGTCCGGCTAATTCGCAAAAATCGAATTGAAGAAATTGAGAAAAACTAAACAAACGAAACAGTAAAGGTTTCATCAAAAGTGCCGGAATACATTAGAAATATAGAAACATACGAAAAGTTCAGAAGTAATTTGAAAAGATACTTATTAAGCATTTTGTAAAATCTCTCACTTATGAACCCAGTGCACCATTTCCACTCCCTCTGTATTCTGGGACCCGTTTCACAAAGCCTTTTTTTAATGACAAATGACAAATATCAGTGACAAATCTGCTGATAACCAATCAGAAGCATGGATTTCGGTAGCTTATAAAAAATACTGTCATTTGTCACTGATGACAAGTTTTGTGAAACGGGGCCCTGATCTGTATAGGGCGCGTAGAGACATTCAATCATGCCTATGCGTTATGCACTATACAAACACTTTTAATTATTGTTAATATTTTCCATTGAAACGCAATAGGTTGTCGCCGAGAAAGGCTGCCCTGATATCACGCCAGTGATAGCAAACTTATATTGTCCGTTTTCTAGTTCAGGTAAACCCGATCTAAGAAATAATACAGTCAAAGATAGACCTCGGACTGACTTCCTGCATTGCAAAGCATTGCACCGAATTTTGAACAAAACAGTTTAAACCTAGTATCGAGTTTATATTTTAGGAGAACTAGTAGAGTTTGTCCCGATGGATTCTTCAATCGCATGTAGAAGAAATCCACTTTTACACTCTTTGTCCAGTAGTGCCGTGTTTGTGCCATCAACCTGGATCGACCAAATCAATTGATTCATAATATATACAATATTTTTTTCGCCGTAACATGAGAGTAATATTAATCGCTTCATTCTTTTAATTGATATTGTATAATTGTGTTAAGTGGGGCACGCTACAAGAGTCTTATCTCGCACCCCGGGGCAACGTGTCTGACACGGCCGGTTGTAGCAACTACTCCTTAGATCAAGATACATTTATCTTGATCTAAGGAGACACGAACGAACGAACTCTCGAGGCAAACTACTTCATTTAATAAAGTGTATATATATAAACACGCACACCCAATTACACAAACAAAACCAAACAGATACGAAACAAACTTACCAAAATAATCTGATAATACAGCTCAGCTATATGGAACTGGCCCCAGACCCATCACAAACATTACCACAAACGTGTTCGAGAAAGGATCACTGTATATATGTATGTAATTAGCTAGCTTTTAGTATGTAGACCAACGATCAAAATAGTTGCCTTCTTACAATTATTGAAAGACGGCGCTCCCGCATTACTGCCGAAATCGATAGCTTAGCGATTATTGTTAAGGATCAATATGCGAACATTGTATCCTGCATTGCACCAAATTTGAACAAAACAGTTTAAACCGAGTATCGAGTTTATATCTTAGAAGAACTTGTAGAGTTCGTCCCGATGGATTCTTTGAGCGCTTGTAGAAGAAATCCACTTTTACACTCTCGAGGCAAACTACTTCATTTAATAAAGTGTATTATATATACAAACTCACACCCAATTACAAAAAAAAAAAACCCAAACAGATACGAAACAAACTTACCAAAATAATCTGATAATACAGCTCAGCTATATGGAACTGGCCCCAGACCCATCACAAACATTACCACAAACGTATTCGAGAAAGGATCACTGTATATTATGTATATAATTAGCTAGCTTTTAGTATGTAGACCAACGATCGAAATAGGATCAATATGCGAACATTTTCAATGACTCAAACAAAGAGATGATTATTGATCAAAGTGCGTTTTGTGTTCTTGATGTATCTATACCAGCTCTCGTTGACGTTGAATAGAAAAGGAAGTCAATGGCATAATTTAGCAAAGTCATATAAATGCTTGCCTATCCCGTGATATGCTTTCGGATGGTGAACTGGTGAATCTCAGTTGGGATGTCACATTCCTTCATTTCAAGTCTATTAAATATCGGAAATTGGTTTATACACCGCTTAATATTCCATCCAGTATAGAAAAATATTACACCAGGGGGGTGTTTCACAAAGATCCCACGTCGAACTTAACTCTAAGTTGGACTTAAACATTATGGAGAGCCATTTGTAGCCTTAAAATAAAAATATAGGCCTATTCAAAAGCTAAAATTCAAGTATTTTAGACTTTTTATAAATTCCACATCAAGAACGTGAAATCTCCTTGATAATAGAAAATATGAATAATTTGTATAACATTTTATGCCTTTTAAAATAACTTTTACAAAATATGTTCATAGATGCTAACGGCTTTCCATAATTTTTAAGTCCAACTTAGAGATAAGTTCAACTTAGGATCTTTGTGAAACACCCCCCAGGTGAGAGTTATACAAGTCTTCTTCAGAGTGTGAGTATAAACAACTAGGCCTTCATTCTAGTTGAACCAGCTGACACAAAAATCAATGGGATTAACTGTCGAAACGTTGGCCAGCCCAGTAAATTGCAAAGGAGGTGTAGAGGCTACTATGTGACTCAGGTGTACTTTAAAATATCGATTTTTCCCTACTGGAAAGTTTGCAGAATATAGCTAAGTAAACGGAAAACAAGAGCTGGTTCTGTGTAGGGGATTAATAGTCGTTCATTCATTCACTTCATTTCACCGTGTGGAGTACAGGATGACGTTTTGCTTTAAGCCGATTCTTGTGATGTCACAGGCGTCGCTTTGTAGAAAGTGTATGGATTAGGTCGCTTGAGGGCGTACTGGATTTTGTGTGTTACTGATTTTCCACGTCATGGGATAGTTGCCTCCCAGAGTTGCCTAAGTTTTCGTTTAATTTTGTGATACAAGCCCAATGATGTAAGTAGAAATGAATATGTTATCTTGAAGTTTATGAGTTATATTGTCTTTACAGCTAGATAGCTTAATGAAATATGATGTTTATGACACTAATTTGAGATGATGAAATATGACATGAATGAATCGTTCAAGTGAAAGATTGTACACGTGTGTAGGTTACGTAATTGTCGTGCACGGTAGTGCGTCTTAATGTACATGTACGTAGTAGTAGTATAATGATATGACCTTGAAGAATGTCAAAGTCACCGTCGGTGAGTTATTATTTGTTGCATGTATTTACCGTAGTCAGATATATAGTGAAGAAAGCATTGTTTGTTTTCCTTTGTTATGATAACAGATAGTTATTAGGATTTGATACATGATATGTTATTTTCATGTCTGTTTATGCAAGTTGACTTATTATTGTTTATCCTTTTATTAAATCGCAGATTGAACCTTGCCTGCTACAGTGTATAACCAAATTACAGTGCATGGTGTCATTACTATGGGTCTTGGGCAACTAGTTAGTTCGCCAAATCGTCCACCACAACAGTTCAATATCAACTTGTGTGACTGTCATATCCTCCATCATGAGTGTAACCGGCATGGATATGAGCACAGATCCAGAGGTTACCTTCAAGGACCACAAGTCGGACAGTATTAGACCTGAGGACTCAGCTAGCCAAAGGGGGAGTAGCACCACCTCGGCGAGTTGGAGGATACGGGCGAAGGCTAAGAGAGCTGCCTTAGCCGCAGAAGTAGCAGCTCTTAAAGACCAACAAGAACTTGAGATAGAAGAAATGAAGCTTAAACAACGGAAAGCTGAGCTTCTTCTGAAGACTAGATTAAAGATCGCTGAAGCGGAGGAAACTGTATATAGAGGTACCAGGTCCATAGAACAGAAGACTGAGCCTTCCAAGTCTGAACCTTCACAACAAGGTTCATCAACTCCTGTTAGAACGAGAATGAAGCCGGCACTGACCAGTCAAGATGAAAAGATAACTGGTAAGATGGACTCTGACATCTTACATCATCTACAGCAAGGACAGAGACAACATCAACAGCTGTTGGAAGCCATCACAATTTCAAGTACCAACATTATGTCTTTTGATGGTAACCCGTTGAATTTCTTTGAGTTCATACGATCATTTGATAGTGTCATTGGAAATTCGTCATTGGACAATAACGCCAAGTTGCTCAAGTTGTATCATCTTTGTACTGGAGCTGCCAAAGACATAATCCAATGTTGTCTCATGATGCATCAAGATGATGGGTACTTTCATGCCAGAACGCTTCTGATGGATCGCTTTGGAAGTGACCATAAGATCAGTGACGCCTGGATTAGGAAGGTCACGGAAGGTCCAGTTATTCAGAGCAATCCTAAACATCTGAGGGATTTTGCTGATCAGCTAAAGACCTGTGCTGAAACTTTGATGGCCCTTGGAATGCTTCACGAGATGAGCAGCAGAAGTGAGCTGGTGAAGGTCATTGAACGTTTGCCATTCCATCTGAAGAGCCGGTGGTTGCGTTTCGTAAAGACCATCAGGGATAGTGGCAGACAGCCTAACATCCAGCATGCAGTTGAATTCATCACCGGCGCAGCTGATGAACTCAATGATCCTGTATTTGGAGCCTTACTTATGGGTGGACCAAAGAATCTAGGAAGTACAAGGAGTGTAAAGGAAAGAACTGTGTCAGGTAGAGGTCAGGCAAGCATGTTTACTACCTCTGTGAATTCATCGACCAAGAACTGCATCATGTGTCAGGACAGCCATGACCTTTTCGGTTGCCAGGAATTTAAAGCCATGGAGCCTGATGAACGCTTTGATTTTGCCTTCAAGAACAGGCTTTGTTTCAATTGCTTGTTACCTGGTCATGTATCCTCAAAGTGCATCCTTAATAGGACCTGCTCAGTCAAGGGGTGCAATCAAAGGCATACCAAGTTCCTCCATACCGGGAGAAGGATGAGACCATCTTCAGGAAATCCTACACCTTGGAGAACAAGAAGGGAATCGAATGACTCATCAACTCAAACTGACTATGATGTAGCATCTCATGCTAGTTCCAATGCCACGAGGGCCGGAGGTTGCAGAGTAGCCCTTCCAATAATTCCGGTTACTGTCAGTGCTGCAGATGGTGGAGAAAGCATTGAGACCTTAGCTTTGCTGGACCCTGGTTCTACGAACTCATTCTGTCTGCAAGAATTAATAGATGTGCTCCAGACAAAGGGGAAAAAGAAAGTCATTCAGGTCTCAACACTGGAAAGCCCTAAAAGAGCAATGGAATGTGAAGCCGTCAAATTGAGGGTTAAAGGTTCCACAGCAGACAAGACGATAGAGGCTGAATTTCTAACTCGTCCGAGCCTTAACATCAGTACTGCAAACATGGCCAGGGAGGAAGATATTTCGAAATATCAACATCTTTGTGGTATTGATCTTCCAGTCACCGGGAAGAACCAAGTAACCATACTGATTGGACAGGATGTGCCTGAAGCCCTGATGCCACTTGAAATCAAAGCAGGTAAACCTGGTGAAGTTTATGCTGTCAAGACAATACTTGGATGGACGTTAAATGGTCCACTTGGAAATGGAAGTAGTTTACAGAGTTTTCAAGCCTCGTCTAGCTTCATCTCTGATGATGGTAACATGCTCCTGGAAGAACAAGTTCACAAATTTTGGAAGCTAGAAGGGACAGAATACCTTTATGATGATGAAAAGAGCATGTCCATCAATGATCAGAAAGCCTTGAAGACCTGGCAGGAAGGAGTTTGCAAAGATGGTGATCACTATCAACTTCCCATTCCATTTCGGAAGAGGCCTGAAGATCTGCAGTGGTTGAAACTCAAAGGAAAAACCCAGACAGAGCAAGAGCTGAGGGACTTCAAAAGGATCAGTTACGACGACATGCAGAAAGCAGAGAAGAGAATTTTGCATTACGTGCAAAAACGTTTCTTCCAGAAGGAGATTGAATCATTGACCGATTCAGCTGGTAAAGTGACAAAGACAAGTCAACTCTACAAGCTGGACCCTAAGATAGACGAGGGTCTTGTTAGAGTTGGAGGAAGATTAGAGAGATCAGCTCTACCATTAGAGGCTAAACACCCAGTCGTCTTACCCAAGGGAAGTCATGTGTCAGATCTGATCTTGAGAGATGTTCATGTAAAGGCAGGGCATAGTGGAAGAAATTATGTCCTTTCTGTGCTCCGTGAGAAGTATTGGATGCTTGGAGCAGGAGCAGCTATCAGGAGCATGATTAGCAGATGTGTCATGTGCAGGCGGCAAAGAGGGAAGATGATGAGTCAGAAGATGGCTGACCTGCCTGAGAATAGACTGTTACCTGACGAGCCTCCATTTTCCAAGGTTGGCATTGACTATTTCGGCCCCTTTGAGGTTAAAAGGGGTCGCAGCATGGAGAAGAGATATGGAGTCATGTTTACATGTCTTACCACACGCGCCATTCATTTGGAAGTCGCTCATTCTTTGGATACGGACTCTTGTATCAGTGCCATTCGTCGTTTCATCGCTCGCAGGGGCAATATCAAGGAGATGCTCTCAGATAATGGCACTAATCTTGTGGGCGCTGAGAGAGAGCTGAAAAGAGAAATAGATGGATGGAACAAAGCTCAAATCAGCGCAGACCTGCTCCAGAAAGGCATCAAATGGACATTCAACCCACCCACTGCTTCCCATTTTGGAGGAGTCTGGGAAAGGCAGATTGGGACTGTGAGAAAGCTCATACTGGCAGTAACTAAGCAACAGGTGCTCTCAGGTGAAAGTCTGACAACTCTCTTCTGCGAAATTAAGAGCATCGTCAACAACAGGCCTCTAACAAGTGTATCAGATGATGTCAATGATCTTGAGGCCTTGACTCCCAATCACCTACTTCTGCTGAACAGGAAGCCGCAACTGCCACCAACAGTGACGGACAGATCAGATGTATACTCGAGAAGGAGGTGGCGTCAAATACAGTATCTCGCCGACGTATTCTGGAGGCGCTGGTCTAGAGAGTACTTACCGCAGTTGCAAAGAAGAGAAAGATGGGTACCATCGATCGCATCGCAATCTTCAGATTGGTGACTTGGTGCTGGTTGCCGATGCAAACACTCCGCGGAATTCGTGGCTGCTGGGAAGAGTACTTCAAACTTTCCCAGACAAGAAAGGCTTCACCCGTAGTGCGAACATCAAGACAAAGAATAGCGTAATTGTTCGTCCTATCTCGAAATTGTGCCTGATTTTGGAAGGAGATTGTTAATTGCCCTCATTTGGAATTCATGGATCACGTGATGTTTAATCATATAAGAAAGAGAAATTTTTGAGATATATAAATTTCATGATCAAGGAGAATTTGTGTCTCAGAGGATGTCGTCGCAGAGATATGATCATATGAAGATCGTTTGTCAGTGATTTTTGATTGGAAATCAGAAGGATCCAATTAGAGCAGAAATGTTATTATCATGAAATGTGATGTCATGATATCGCCAACATTTATTTTACGTGAAAGTGTCAAAATGTGACAATTCGTATTCAACGCGAGGATATAATTTTTTGTTGAGTTATGAATCGTCTAGTGATCTGGAACTCTCCGACAATTCAGATTTAGTCACCATAGCAACCCAATAGTGACTGATAACTGAGAATTGAGAAACTGAACGGCTTACAAGAAGAGGACATAAACTGATACATTTATAGAAAAATGACTGTCTGCAATTCAAAGACTCATGAACTAATGAACATTAGTGTATTACACTTGAAGTTATGGAGTAATTTGCAAATTTTCACACAATTTGTTATTTTTCCAGTGTAAAATGTAAACATGGCATTTAGCAGCATTTAAGTTGCAGTAAATGTGCAGTTGTAGCTTCAGTGATTATCAGATTACTGTATATACAATTATGTAAATGTATTGCTTCATTTAAAATTCTGGTTTAAGATGGAATCTATTCCAGAATTGGTTTGCATATCATTTTCTTGGTAGTATAGTGGTAAAGTTGTAAAAGATTATTTCATATATTCAGACACAGAAAATGTGAGTTGTGTGTAGAAAGGTTCTACTAGTTGTCATGTTGATTAATGCAATATATATGCAAATTTTTATTTGAAAGTATGCCTGATTATCAGGAATTAAGCATATTTGGAAATTTATCCTTCCTCATGTCAAGGCACATGTAGTATACATGTAGTTTGCCTTTTAGTACAGTGTTCCAAATACAAAGGGTATTAAAATAGGAAAGGTCAAGAGTTCAGCTCTTCATGTGAAGCTCGAGTAGAAAGTTACTTACAAACATAAAATGTGTGTTTACGGTACAGTCAAGTTGTTGGTTGTATGTTTAACTTGACACATCACTCTCAGATCTCCCATCGTCTGAGTCAGTAGGAGGATTTAGTTTTGGATTAAAACATTTTTAGTGTCATTCCTGGTGTCGGGAATTATAGTGAGGAAGCAGCGTGGTTGCTTACAGTTATCTTTGGAGTCGTCGATGTTTACCAAAATGATTCTAAATTCTGACAAGGAATGTTGGGAGTTCTGATAGGGTTGTCATGGTGATGTTGAGAAGGATATTTGTTTTATGTAAGTGCATTTGATATACACTTGGTGCATTTTATGCAAATGTCAAAGCTTTTGAAATTACTTAGTAGTTTGCTGAAAAGAAAATCTTCAGATATTTTATGTTGATATTAATGGTCAAGATCATTGAATAGGTTAAGGGTGATTAGTTATTTAAAGGTGTGAAGAAAAAAAAGGTCACTTGAACAGTATAAGAAGTTGAAGAATTTAAAGGAACAATGATTTATTGCGAGTAGCAATTGTGGATAGACTTAATTTTGAAATGTTTCAAATGAACAAAGTATTGTTAAATGTTCAGAAAGGCTTCTCATTTAAGAGGGCCGGAATGTGGAGTACAGGATGACGTTTTGCTTTAAGCCGATTCTTGTGATGTCACAGGCGTCGCTTTGTAGAAAGTGTATGGATTAGGTCGCTTGAGGGCGTACTGGATTTTGTGTGTTACTGATTTTCCACGTCATGGGATAGTTGCCTCCCAGAGTTGCCTAAGTTTTCGTTTAATTTTGTGATACAAGCCCAATGATGTAAGTAGAAATGAATATGTTATCTTGAAGTTTATGAGTTATATTGTCTTTACAGCTAGATAGCTTAATGAAATATGATGTTTATGACACTAATTTGAGATGATGAAATATGACATGAATGAATCGTTCAAGTGAAAGATTGTACACGTGTGTAGGTTACGTAATTGTCGTGCACGGTAGTGCGTCTTAATGTACATGTACGTAGTAGTAGTATAATGATATGACCTTGAAGAATGTCAAAGTCACCGTCGGTGAGTTATTATTTGTTGCATGTATTTACCGTAGTCAGATATATAGTGAAGAAAGCATTGTTTGTTTTCCTTTGTTATGATAACAGATAGTTATTAGGATTTGATACATGATATGTTATTTTCATGTCTGTTTATGCAAGTTGACTTATTATTGTTTATCCTTTTATTAAATCGCAGATTGAACCTTGCCTGCTACAGTGTATAACCAAATTACAGTGCATGGTGTCATTACTATGGGTCTTGGGCAACTAGTTAGTTCGCCAAATCGTCCACCACACACCGGAAGCATTAAATATTACAGGAGAATTTCAAAATGACAAGATACGTCACATCAAAGAGTCAAATAATTACTATAAACAGGCAAATCATGTATGATGAAGTATAGGCAGCAAATAAAAAGGGACAAGGTCCTTTATTTGAGACTGACCCTGCAGTTAAAACATATTCAACATCTACATGGTTATCTAAAATATATTTTAAATCGCTTTACACAAGACTATACTAGTTAATTCCATTTTTTGTTTGAGTGCAGATAAGAGGGAAAAGAAGGGAAGGACTGATTGTAGATACAGAGAGATAATTCTGTGAAAGAAGGAGGGAGTACAATATACAAGTAGATTCTCTGTAACTTGTGTTTTCTGAGACACATATTTATGTAGCATTATACTCCACGTTTTTATTCTGTAATCAAATTTACCATTGAAATAATGCGATCTGCTTGAATTGTCATGCGGAATATGCCGAATTAAAAAGATATGTAACCCTTTTTTTCCTTCAATTCAATTAAATTTCGGTTTTATTATAAATATACCAAATAAAAAGTCCGAAGACTAACAATAATTGGCTCACATTGTATCATATAAAAATGCATTAAAAACAGTAAATTAAAAAATTTAGTAATACGTTTAAGTACGAAAAAAAAGTGGAAAAAAATGATTGTAAATTATAAAATGGTGATAATAAATTTGTCAGTGAATTGAGAAGAAAGAAAGAGTGAAAAGTGGTACAGGGGAGAGGTAAATGATAAAGAGAGATCAAATTTGAAAGAGAGAGAGAAGGACAAAAATATGGAAACAAGATGAGGGATGAGAGAAAGAGAGAAAAAAAGAAAAGAGAGTTCAATTTATGACAAAAAAATGTAAGCAAATGAACGAGAATTGAGTTGATTCAGCTTAAAGGTAAAGACCAGTATTGGTAACGCCCCAATTTCAAAAAATGAAATGGAAGCTCTCATTACCAATCATGTGAAAGAATATGTTTTGACTAATACATGATGATAACAAATTTGCCGGGAAACTGCCTACTAATTCATATATTTGGTAAATTTGTTTCTCTCATGGTCCTGTGAGAGATATAGGGTAGTCCCATATACATCTTTCTGTGTATAGTGCTTGTAACTTTACGAAGAATGGGCCAAATTTCTTATCATGTTGATGATTCCAGAACCTTGCAGATGCTAGATGCTAGATGATCAACCTTTTCTGATCGATTCCACAACGTTTCTTTCACAATTCAATCGCATGACCATAACTGGTCTTTACCTTTAATGAAGCATTATAAAAGTAAAATGCACATAATACGGAAATATCAAACGATACATTAATACGAATGCCATTATGGAATTGTTATTATACTGATTAACATTGGTGAATGTCAATGACCTAAACATATTGGTGAAAATTATTAACGAGTAATTATCACGTTGTCAGAGAATTGAGAAAAGGAAATACAAGACAGAAATAGAGAAATAGTGGGAGAGGGGAGGAGGGAAAGGAGAAAGAGAGAGAAAAAGCTAGAGAAAGGGAGGAGAGGAGAAAGAGAAAGAGAGAGAGAGAGAGAGAGAGACGGAGAGAGAGAGAGAGAGAGAGAGAATTTGAATAATGAAAATACATTGTAAACAGGTCTAACAAGATTTCAGTTGATTGAATTTAGCAAACGAACAAGAGAGGGAACTGTCGATTGTTTATAGCGCTGAGTTTTGCATCGTGGTAAGGACAAATGATTGGAGTTTCTCAAGCTGCGGCAAGTAAGCACATGGCGCGTTTGTGGCAAGAGATGGCGTTGCCTTGAGGAACCCATAAGTGATTTCGCAAATCTCAACACGTCGGCTATCATGCAAGAGATGAAATGTCAAATTGGCATATTTTGATACCTTATTTGTGACACTAACAGGTCATAAATTGGCTTGGGATCCATGAAGCGGAGCCCCCAGAAGCTCATAGGTTTTAAGCATTAAATTACGGTCAGATGAGCATCCAGGGGCCCGCCTTACTGGACAAAAAGCCATTAATTCGGGAATACAGACAAAGAAAATTGGCTTATTAGACGGCTGGATATCAGGATAAATGGAATAAAGTCTTGTGTATCGTGTAGGCTACAAACCAAGTATAAACTGGAGTGAGCACAATTTTTTTTTTTGCTCCCGAAAATTTCAAAAATCGCACCCCCCCTTGAGCGCCAGAGGAGGGGGCCCATCTTAAAAAAAGGTAAAATTAACGTGTTTTTATACGTTTTTTTCCCAAGGGGGAGGGGGGCGGGCCGCGAATTTTTTTTTCCCAAACAGGTTTACCTATGAGTGTAAAATCCTGCCTCCCGATTGGTTCAGAGGTATACGCGTCATGAATATTCACGAGCTGAGTTCACAGCACTGTGGCTGAGCTGCAGTACCAGTATATGTATTACGCATGCGCGTGGACTTCAGTTTTGCTGGCCATTTAGGTGTACAAAATGTATGTGAGC